TTTACACATTTAATATTCTCGTAGGGAATACACGTGTTGTACTTTACAATAGTTTAACCCCTTTTGTGCACTGGGTTTTTTTTTGTATTTTTGTGTTAATATTTATTGATTTATTTACATATTTATATTTATTTTAGCGCTGCACTGTTTATATATATTTATTTATGTTTATTTTTTTTTTTTTATATGCCTAGTGGAATGACTTTGTGTTTATTGCACTAATAATACGTTTGTTAGAGAACTCTGCGTAAATGCAACAAAAAGGAATCCATATTTACCCATGTTTTGTTCTTTTGTGAGGGTGGCTTTGGGAAACCTGCGGAGGCCGGCTTCTGACCCTGCTTCTGTGCTTCCAGTTGCCATTTAAAGTGAAACTTAAAAAAAAAAAAAATACATGACACATTCTAGTATAAAAGCGTAGTTCCAGTTGAATAAAAAAAAATACAAAAACTGTAGCCACTGACTTTTAAAATACCTGTCCCTCGGTCCAGTGGTCTCCTCACCACAGCTGGTTTCACCAGCCATTTTCTCTCCTAGCATCTTCAGTGTGGGCACCTGGTTGTGACAACTTGTGGCTTCACACCCGGGTGCCCACTGCGCATGCGTGAGTATAGCTGCATTTTGTGAATGGTCCCGTAGTCTTCTGGGACCGATCGTGTCCCAGATGACAACGGGGAAGGAGGGGGGGAGGACAACTTCTGCTTCCGATCGCCTTAGGTGGAAGTGGGAGTGGGTACCTGTCAAATTCAGGTACCCACTCCCCAAAGGCGCCAATCCTTAATGGGGAGAGGGGGACAAAGGCTTAAAGCGGAAAGTCCTTTTTTTGCGTGGAGCTCCACTTTAACACAGCAGTTTTTGTTTCTGAGTCTCCCCATAATAAAATTATATCACTTGTTGAAGTAGCCAGTAGATCAGTTACAGTGCCTTGAAAAAGTATTCATACCCCTTGAAATTTTCCACATTTTGTCATGTTACAATCAAAAACGTAAATGTATTTTATTGGGATTTTATATGATAGGTCAACATAAAGTGGCACATAATTGTGAAGTGGAAGGAAACTGATAAATGGTTTTCAAAATTTTATCTGCACGTCCTCCATTGAAAATTTGGGGTTCTTGGATTTTTTAATCTAAACCATTCCATTGTAGCTCTGGCTGTATGTTTAGGGTCGTTTTCCTGCTAGAAGGAGAGATCTCCACCCCACTGTCAAGTCTTTTGCAGACTCGAACAGGTTTTCTTCTAAGATTGCCCTGTATTTGGCGCTTTCCATCTTCTCATCAGGTTCCCTGCCCCTGCTAAAGAAAAGCATTACCACAACATGATGATTCCACCATCATGTTTCACAGTGGGGACGGTGTGTTCAGGGTGATGTGTAGTGTTAGTTTTCTGCCACACATAGCACTTTGCTCTTAGGCCAAAAAGTTAAATTTTGGTCTCATCTGACCAGGGCACCTTCTTCCACATGTTTGCTGTGTCCTCCACATAGCTTCTCGCAAACTGCAAACAGGACATCTTATGGCTTTCTTTCAACAATGGCTTTCTTCTTGCCACTCTTCCATAAAGGCCAGATTTGTGGAGTGCACGACTGATAGTTGTCCTGTGGACAAAGTCTTCTACTGAGCTGCAGATCTCTGCAACTCCTCCTGTTACCATGGGCCTCTTGGCTGCTTCTCTGATTAATGCTCTCCTTGCCCAGCCTGTCAGTTTAGGTGGACAGCCAAGTCTTTGTAGGTTTGCAGCTGTGCCATACTCTTTCCATTTTTGGATGACGGATTGAACAGTACTCCGTGAGATGTTCAAAGCTTGGGATATTTTTTTATACCCTAACCCTGCTTTAAACTTCTCCACAACTTTTATTTCTGACCTGTCTGGTGTGTTCCTTGGCCTTCATGATGTTTGTTCACTAATGTTCTCTAACAAACCTATGAGGGCTTCACAGAACAGCTGTATTTATACTGAGATGTAATTACACACAGGTGGACTCTGTGTACTAATTAGGTGACTTCTGAAGGCAATTGGTTCCACTAGATTTTAGCTAGGGGTATCAGAGTAAAGAAGGCTGAATACAAATGTACGCCACACTTTTCAGATATTTATTTGTAAAAAATTTTGAAAACCATTTATCATTTTCCTTCCACTTCACAATTATGTACCAGTTTCTGTTGGTCTATCACATAAAATCCCAATAAAATACGTTTTATGTTTTTGCTTGTAACATGGAAAAATGTGGAAAATTTCAAGGGGTATGAATACTTTTTCAAGGCAATGTATGTTTCTGCTTCCTTTAACAGGTTGACAACATTGTTCTTGTAATTGCTCAGCAGCATTGTAGCCCTGTGGACAGGATAGTCGGAGATAGACATTTATTTTAAGGAGACTTTATGCAACAAAACCAATTCCAGCCTAACTCTGCTTAACATTTTTAGGGCTAGTTAAGTGTTCTTGCATGGCAAGACCACTTACTGTTATCTCACATATATATATTTTTATTATTATAGCCAAATTTATCACCCTGTTGTGAAATTGGTCCCATAGGAATGAATGGTGGAATGTTCAAAACTAGAGTGGGAGCTGACAAAAGCTAGAGTGCGGGCTGAAAAATCAGGACATGATTTCTAAACTGTCATCACTCCCTCATTTTCAAGCCCACCTACACAAATCTTATATCAAAACGTTCAGCTATCCCTGCTGCCACTAAACATGTCCACGGCTAAGCCATAGTCCTGATAGTTTTCACAATATGACCATTTGTTTGCAACTCACGCCGCCCATTGACATTCATTGAAACTCCACTCTAGCCACCTCAAATTTGAAGGGCAATTTCTAAACTGCGACTGTGCCTTCATTTTTAATATTTCAGAGACATACCATGCATCAAAATGTCGGTCTGGGTCTTGTGATTCTCACAATATAAAGCTCTTCGGTGTAGGATTTATAATTTTTAAACTACAACCGTTTGAAGATGGCAACTGCCAGTGAAGTGAGCAAGTTGGAGCAGTTTGTTTTTAACCGCTCTTCTCTGCCCTTGCTGTAGAGTGAGTTGCCATAGGAACCCAGGTGTGTGAGCAGGCAGCAGAGTGACAAGCCACTCCACCCAGTTACTCCGCCCACTCCAGTTGTAGACTACTGGTGGAGGCAAGAACACTTCACACAATTTCCCCAGAAATTTTAGCTTTTCTAGTTTACATTAGTGTTGCGTTGAGGGCATTTTGAAAACATTTGACAGAAAGGAGGTATTATATTGCCTCCACACCGCCTGTTTTAATACGCATATGACAGCAGGGTTCCCTTTTTTCATACTGTGATACAAAGCATTGCTACTATAGCAAATGTGCTTCCCTCTCTGCTGCCCTTGCAGCATGGGGGGGGGGCTGTAAAAACACGTGTTTTTATGCCCCTTTTCCCTCAGACACAAGTATTAATGAGGCTTTAATGTGGAACTGCACTGCACCTGAGCACCACGAACCAAAATTGCTATTTAGTTCATTGTTATATTCAAAGCAAACTCCCCCATCCAACCATGTCTCCATGCTTTATTTTACTGAGAAATCCTTTTGAAAAACACCTTTTAGCATTTCTGGCCGTGGCCATCTTGAGTAAGGACAGATGATTCATGTAGCATTTACTTTCTAGAATCCATCTGCCCTTAGCTCAGACATTGGTTGAGCTGAGAACCCTCCCTACCCTACTGAAGACTGCTGGGATGAACAACATCATTTGCCTAGGTATGGAGACCAGGAAGTAACTTAAGAAATGTAAAAAAAAGTTTAAAACAAGTAAATATGATATATTTTCCTATCCGTTTACTAATGCTAGAAGTATAAGGATTAGAAATAGTCCATGTTGATTGAGAGACTGAAGTTTTGCTTTAAGCAGTTACAGCAGCGGTTCTCAACCTGGGGGTCGCGACCCCTTTGGGGGTCGAACGACGCTTCCACAGGGGTCGCCTAAGACCATCGGAAAACACATATTTCCGATGGTCTTAGGAACCGAGACACCGCTCCTCGCCGCCGCCGCCGTCTCCAGGTGTGGGCGGGATGATGACATGCCGTCCCTGTCATCTGGACACACCTCGAGATCAATCCTCGCCTGTGATTGGCCGCCGGCACTGTAGCTCAGGAGAGGCACACAGGCGGCCAATCACTGGCAAGGAGGTGGAGCTTGGAGAGGAGGAGCCGAGCGGCACCGCGAAGATCGAGCGAGTGAAGAGGAGGAGAGCGGCCGGAGAAGGAAGACAGCTGACAGGTAAGTGTCGGTACCATGGGAGAGGGAGGGAGCGAGCGAGCGAGCCCAGGCTGGAGCAGGGGTCTGCAAGGTAAGTATCATTGGTGTCAGTGGGAAATAGTGCCCCATCATTGGTGTCACTAATACCAACGATGGGACACTATTCCTCCCACTGACACCAATGATGGGGCACTATTCCTCCCACTGACACCAACGATGGGGCACTATTCCTCCCACTGACACCAACGATGGGGCACTATTCCTCCCCCACTGACACCAACGATGGGGCACTATTCCTCCCCCACTGACACCAAGGATGGGGCACGATTCCTCCCCCCACTGACACCAACGATGGGGCACAATTCCTCCCCCCACTGACACCAAGGATGGGGCACAATTCATCCCCCCACTGACACCAAGGATGGGGCACAATTCCTCCCCCCACTGACACCAAGGATGGGGCAGTATTCCTCCCCCCACTGACACCAAGGATGGGGCAGTATTCCTCCCCCCACTGACACCAAGGATGGGGCACTATTCCTCCCCCCACTGACACCAAGGATGGGGCACTATTCCTCCCCCCACTGACACCAAGGATGGGGCACTATTCCTCCCCCCACTGACACCAAGGATGGGGCACTATTCCTCCCCCCACTGACACCAAGGATGGGGCACTATTCCTCCCCCCACTGACACCTATGATGGGGCACTATTCCTCCCCCACTGATACCAATGATGGGGGCACTATTCCCCCCACTGACACCTATGATGGGGCACTATTCCTCCCCCCACTGACACCAAGGATGGGGCACTATTCCTCCCCCCACTGACACCAAGGATGGGGCACTATTCCTCCCCCCCACTGACACCTATGATGGGGCACTATTCCTCCCCCCACTGATACCAATGATGGGGCACTATTCCCCCCACTGACACCTATGATGGGGCACTATTCCTCCCCCCACTGACACCAATGATGGGGCACTATTCCTCCTCCCACTGACACCTATGATGGGGCACTATTCCTCCCCACTGATACCAATGATGGGGCACTATTCCTCCCATTGATACCGATGATGGGACACTATTCCTCCTCCCACTGACACCTATGATGGGGCACTATTCCTCCCACCGACACCAATGATGGGGCACTATTCCTCCCACTGATACCAATGATGGAGCACTATTCCTTCCACTGACACCAATGATGAGGCACTATTCCTCCTACTGACACCAATGATGAGGCACTATTCCTCCCACTGATACCAATGATGGGGCACTATTCCTCCCTTGATACCAATGATGGGACACTATTCCTCCCACTGATACCAATGATGGGGCACTATTCCTCCCACTGACACCAATGATGGGGCACTATTCCTCCCACTAACACCAATGATGGGGCACTATTCCTCCCACTGATACCGATGATGGAGCACTATTCCTCCCACTGACACCAATGATGGGACACTATTCCTCCCACTGACACCGATGATGGGGCACTATTCCTCCCACTGATACCGATGATGGGACACTATTCCTCCCACTGACACAGATGATGGGGCATTATTCCTCCCACTGACACCAATGATGGGGCTCTATTCCTCCCACTGACACCAATGACGGGGCACTATTCCTCCCACTGACACCAATGATGGGGCTCTATTCCTCCCACTGACACCAATGACGGGGCACTATTCCTCCCACTGACACCAATGACGGGGCACTATTCCTCCCACTGATACCAATGATGAGGCACTATTCCTCCCACTGACACCAATGACGGGGCACTATTCCTCCCACTGACACCAATGACGGGGCACTATTCCTCCCACTGACACCAATGACGGGGCACTATTCCTCCCACTGACACCAATGACGTGGCACTATTCCTCCTACTGCAAAATTACAGTTATGAAGTAGCAACGAAAATAATTTTATGGTTGGGGGTCACCACAACATGAGGAACTGTATTAAGGGGTCGCGGCATTAGAAAGGTTGAGAACCACTGAGTTACAGCAATTTTTTTTTCTTTTGAGGAAAAGCTTCAACTATATAAATCAAACTTTTGTTGTGACCACCCCAGTAATGTTTATGGTTTGTCCCAACTCCTGTAACTTTTGATGAACAACATGGTCTGCATGTCATGTAAAAATGTCAATAATGTAAGAAATGTAATTTTAGTATCAAATATATTCTTTTTTCTATTTTAAATGTCTTTCAAGCCCTTTCCCTTACTAGGACTGAAATATTCTTCACTATATTAGACCTTTAGCCATTACGTTGCTCCATCCAGAAGCCAACCTTCCTCATGAAATAGGTTTGCCTTCACTGGCGGGTTGCTTGTTTGTAAATTGCAGCTTTTAGGTTCATGCCAGATGCACTTGTTCCTGACTGCATTACACTTTTAGCGATTACACTAAAGTATGTGCAGTTGTAGCTTTTACAATGTAATCCACAGGCATGCTGTCCTATGAATGTGCCGGCAGGTTACTAATTGAAAAAGACAGCACATGCTGCGAGCATTCTTCACGCTTAGGAGTCTTACTTTGCTGTGCGGTGTTGGCTTCATGGTCCTGTCATACATTTGAAAAAGCATTTATTTGTTGGATGTGCTGTTGCTGAAGCTCATAATTCCACTTCAGCAGTGTGCTGTTGTCATCGTCATATGCAACACAGAAAGCACCCATATGTTACTTCTGCAGCTCACAGTCAAAAGGTATGGTGATAAAGTATCATCTTCTGGTGCCAGGACCTCCATGTTCTCTTTGGGTGCAATCCTGTAGCATCTTCGCATAGAGCTTTCTGGCATGTGTTGGACTTGGAGTTAGAATTCTTTTTCTCTCTACGGGTCCTGCATTGGTTGCCTTATGCTGCAATAATAGCTCGCTGAGGCCATGGCACTAAAATATGATGTTCAGATAGTGAGTCTGTAATCCTTTATGTAGATTGATTAGGGAAACTGTAGAGGTGGTGAAATGCATTTTATATTTATTTGAAGCCAAACTCCTAGTCACAATAAAATTTAGCCTTGATTATTTTAATTTTAGCATCCCTGGCACAAGATAAAATGATGTAACATAGAGCATCTACTGAAAAGGTGCCCTTTTTCGCCAGGAATGTCCCCATATCCATTAGTAGGGACTGGTCACAGCTGTCTCCTCACTTTGATGTGCTCAGTGATACCTAATATGTGCAATGCAATTTCTGTTTTTTTAGGTGCTCCTGATATGTGTTGACTAACATACATGCAAGCATTTGGTGGTTTTTCCATTCATAATATATTACATTCATTTTTTAACATTCTTTATTTAAAAGTTTTTTACACAGGAATGCGGTAAAGTTGGTCAACAGTGGAAACATCGGTCGTTCCATAGTTAGACTTACGAAACACATACACAGAGGCCATTAACATTTTCACAGAATAATGACCACTATCTGAAGCAACATGCATGGGCACAGATCATAGCGCATAACCCATCTGGAATTTTCAAAGAAACAATATAGAAAAAAAATGGAGGAAAATAAGTATAATAGTAAAATAAGGAGGAAAGAAAGAGAGCAAGGGTGGTGAGGAGAGAGGGAAAAAAAGGGGATGGGGAGGGGAAGACTCACTCCTCTGTTATGATGGGACCATACTCATTAATAAGGGACCAGTAGAACCATTTGCATCTGAATTTTCCTTCTTTTGCCTTTCACCGAAGCTATGATGCTTTCCATAGTGTGAATCTCTGCTATTTTAGTAAACCATAAACAAAGTGTAGGGGGGATTCCTGCTTCTATAGTGATGGTATACAGGCCTGGGCTGTGTGTAACAGGTGGACTAGCATAGAATTTTTATTTCTCTTCCTCAAAAGATCAGATTGGTGCAATATATTTGGCTGAATCAGTTGCAAGGATAGTCAGTGAGCTGTTTGATAGTCTCCCTGACTTGAGACCAAAACCTACCTAATTACGTACAAGACCAGAAGACATGGAGGATGGTACCCTCTCCCTCTTTACACCTCATCAAGTACTCACCATCTTGGGGTAATGTTTTCACACACAGCGCCAGGACTCTGTACCAATGAGTGAGCACTTTGTAGCCCAACTCTTGGTATTTGCTTGCAATAGAGGAGTAGTACTGTAATCTTATAAACTTTTTTTTTCCATTTTACTTTATTGAAATCACATAAAAGGCTGGCAAGCCCCCTATGTGGTAGCAGTTGTGGAGTGACAGTTTCTGTTAAATGAGACCTCATCTGTCTTAGACCCCTAATTCTCCCATGCAGCTAATCAGGTGTGGATCACGCTTGATTCAATGCTTCTCTGGTCAGCGCTGCCTAAGAATCACAGCTGTGAAGGACTTAGAAGTGGTGTAGTACACATTGCTTTATTCATCAGAGGGAAGATCCCTCTCCACCCTTGCCTGGCCACTGTTTTTTACAGAAAGCAGACAGTTGGCTTCAGAAATGTAAGCACACAGCATACAGGAGTGTAAGAGGCCTGGAAACCAGTCGCCATTTATAAACCGCACTGGGACTCGAATATCATTTGGACTGAGCATGAATACACCAATCCAATTTTATCACCTTTATCTATAGACACTGTTTGACCACTTGCCCTCTGGAAGATTCATCCCACTTCCTGACCAGGCCATTTTTTGCTATATGGCACTGCGCTTTTTTTCCTGACAATTGTGCGGTCATGCAATGCTATACACAGATGAAATTTTATGTAATTTATTTCCCCACAAATAGAGCTTTCTTTTGGTGGTATTTGATCACTTCTGGGGTTTTTTTTATTTTCGCACTATAAACAAAAAAAAAGACTAAGTTTGAAAAAAAACCCTGATATTTTCTAATTCTGTTATAAAAAATATCCAGTAAGCTCAAATTTCATCATAAATTTAGGCCAAAATGTGTTTTGCTACATGTCTTTGGCAAAAAAATCCCAATAAGTGTATATTAATTGGTTTGTGTTAAAGTTGTAGCATCTACAAACCATGGTATTATAGATACTGGAATTTACGTAGCTTTTACTTTCTGACTGCGTTTCACATTTCTTGAGGTGCTAAAATGCCAGGGCAGTACTGACACCCCAAATGACCACTTTTCAGAAAGTAGACACCCTAAGCTATTTGCTGAGAGGCATGTTGTGTCCATGGAAGGTTTTTTTTTTTTTTTTTTTCCCCCACAAGTTTTTGGAAAATGACCAAAAAAATGTTTTTTCTTTTTTTACAGAAAGTTGTCATTTAAATGGTATATTGCTCACACGTGCCATGGGTATATTTGGAATTACATCCTAAAATATAATCTGCAACTTCTCTCGAGAATGGGGATACCACATGCAAGATTTTTTGGGAGCCTAGCCCCATACAGGAGCCTGAAATCCAATGACTCCTTTGAAAGTGTGAAACTTCCTCATTTCACTTTGAAATGAGATCTGCATAATACTCACCATGCCTCTTATCAAATTCATGGGAGGTCTACTTTTCAAAAAAGGAGTAATTTGGGGGTTCTGTACTATTCTGGCATTTCAGGGTCTCCGAAAATGTGATAGGTAGTCAGGAAGTACAATGAGGAAATAAAGCCCTTTAAAAGCCTAGAGGCGCTTATTGGATTTTGGGGTCCTGTACGTGGCTGGACTGCCAAAACGTCTCTCACATGTGGTATCCCCATACTCAGGAAAAGTAGCAGAATGGAATTTGGGGAGTAATTCCACATGTACCCATGGCATGTGTGAGCAATATATCATTTAACTGACCATTTTGTGTTAAAAAAAAAAAAAAAAAAACTTTTCTCATTTTCCAAAAACTTGTGGTAAAAAATAAATTCTTCTATTGACTCAACATGCCTCTCAGCAAATAGTATGGGGTGTCTACTTTCCAAAAAGGGGTAATCTTGGAGGGAGGTGTTGTTATCTTGGCGTTTTATATCCAGCATTAGAAGCTTATGCCACACAACACAC